TAATATTTTGTTTATATGTCAAATATATATTTCTCAAATTATTGTTAACATAATAATTAGATAAAATTAAGTATCAATTAAAAAAAAATGTTGATTTAAAACTCAATATTTTACTCTTACTTTCTATTAATTTATCTAGCAGTAGATAATTAAATTTAGGAAAAAAAAGATTACATTCTAATTGTTGTATTTGTTTAAAGTAATGAAATTATCATTTTTTGTCATTTTGATAGAAGTTTATAGGTTCCCAAAGTACATTGTATTCGTTTATACACTGTTAGAGAATTTATGAGCTGTTGAGTTTATAAACTCTTACAATCAAACACCCTCGAGAGTTGGAGGTCAACAGCTTTCTGAAAACGTTATTAAGACTTTTAAGTTGTCTAACCTATAAGCTATTAGATATTTACCAAATGCATAAAAAATTCTAAAATACTGTAGAATTAGCTTATATATGAGCTTCTACTGATCAAATATAACCTAAGTCAAACAGTCTAAAATTTTCATAAGTAAAATCTTGCCTGACTTCTATTTAAATCCAACCCTATGTCTGTCTTAAAGGGGATCTCTTTTTTTGTCCAAAGTCGCAATAAACATTTTCAGCTTTGTCCATGCTGACTTCCTGCTAATAGTGGTAACTCTGGTATTTTGTGTTGCTTTTTCCCGTGGTCATCATTATTGTTTATTTTCCTTTTCGAGTCGAAGAATGGTTGACCTAATTTGAGGGAGGAGTGTAGCGATTGGTCTGGTCAATTATGAGAGTGTTTATATGCTGTTCATTAAGTAGGTTTAAGTACCTCCATTCGAATTTGGTAACATAAAAAGATACTCATTAGGTTTTTTAAGTGACTTCTTAATATAATTAGGCACCATATTCCTAATTTTTCTGTAGTTTACTTAGCCATTATCTTGATTTCTCCTTAAAAGGAATGAAGTATATGCGTGTCTATTAGGGCTTTCGAATTGAATCTATGAAAACCCACTTAGGACCTCTGTAGCGTTTCTATGATCTTATGTCAATTATATTCTTTTTGACTTGAGAGAAGAGGACTCTTGTTTAGATAGGGTTGCCATGGGGTTACAAGTGATTGTGATGGCAATATTTGAAGCTTGGGACTGTAGTTAGCGAACTTTGTATGTAATTGTACATAGACGAGCTATGCTTTGCTCTACTGCTTGTATTGGTATTGGGGAGCATGTTTGAGAAACCATTGTCGAAATGAGGCTTCTGAGAATATATGTCCTGGCAGATGAGAAAAGTAGGGAGACTTTCAGATATAGCCAATCATTCGTATGGTCTTGATTTATCAGTAATATTTTCTTAAGAACTTTTTCGGGTTCTTATAGTGGTTCTAGCAAAGAGATTTATATTCAATTACCTTCATTTAATGTCCCAAGTGCTCTTCAAATTGGCTGTGCTTGTGGAGCTACTCTGGCTGGCATTACTTATAATATATTATTTGACTTAGTTAATGAAAAAGTTACGACTCTCTGTTCTTGAAATTTCTTAAATGAACTGTTTCAGGTGGTTGCACTAACGGTAGTGTCTATTGGTGTTGCTGTCGCCACGGTAACAGACTTGCAATTCAGTCTGTTTGGTGGTTGTGTAGCGTTGGCTTGGATAATTCCAAGTGCAGTCAACAAGATCCTCTGGGCAAATATGCAGCAGAGGGAGAACTGGACAGCCTTGGCGTATGTTACTACACGCGCTGTTGCATATTCAAGCTTTCCATGGTTTTTGGTTTGTTTCTGGGAATATTCTTAATTTTTATGTACAATTGGCTAAGATGTAGCATTGTTGGATAGGTTAATGTGGAAGACAACGCCGATCACTTTGCTTTTTCTGGTATCCATGATTCCTTTCTTAGATCCCCCCGGTGCCTTTTCCTTTCACTGGAACGTAAGCAATACATTGGCAATTCTCATGTCCGCCGTTCTTGGTTTCTTCCTTCAGTGGTCCGGCGCTTTGGCACTCGGGTAAGTACATCCGCTTATCTTTTTAAAACATTCCAAGTAGTGCAATGACCATTTCTATTCCATGAAGCTTGCCATATAGCTGTTTTATGGATGGGAGGTGGACACTGAAACCAGGGCCTTGATAGTTCTTGTACACAATGTTTTTGTGTAATTGTTTCTAAAATGAGGGGTTTAGTTTGAATCCTTTTGTCAGTCAAAGGTGTTTTTTTTTTCTTGACATTTGGATTATAAATTTTGAAAAATAAGTTACAAAAACCCATTTATTTGGTTGATTGATAAAGCCCTTTTTACTAGAACCTCTATAGAAATTGAAATTTTATTTATGTATTATTTTTAGTCATGTAGTTAATTTTTCAACTTGTGAATTTTTTTTTCTTTTTTTTTTTAAGTAAACACTCACTATTTATATGGAACTTTTAAGTTTAAACAAAAATGAGCTTGTCATACCCTCTTATAAGCTAAAAAAGTTAAGTCAGACGAAATTTGTTGATGATCTTTTTTTTTTTTTTTTCTTTTGAACTAAACAATTTTATTAGTAAAGGCGCTAAGGGGGTGTCAACCCGTATACAAGTTATTTATATATTGATCAGTAAATCAAAAAGGTTCTCACAATCCTCCCTCGAGTATAAAACATGACCCAATAACAAAAAATTAAGGGTTCGGAACTATTTATTCTTAATTAAATTAAAACGAGTATCCTCTTCCATCCCTTTAAAAGTTCTTGTGATCGGAATGATATCCCTGTATTTCTCGTATTGGTAATTTTGGAAATACCTGTTCCTAGGAATGTGTTTTCCAGTACACCTATAAGTAAACGTGTTTTGAATTGATGATGATGATGACTCTATTTCGCTGTTGTCATAATAGTCGTAATAATTTGTGTTGCTTTGAACCGAATTCAATCTCATGCTGATGCAATTTCTTCTCAACTTTCTTTTTCCAGAGCCACGTCTGCCATCACACATGTTGTTCTCGGACAATTTAAAACTTGCATTGTCCTCCTCGGAAACTACTATATCTTTGCTTCGAATCCAGGTGCAACTAGCATTTGTGGAGCTTTTGTAGCTATAGGAGGTATGTCTTTCTACACATACCTCAACATAAATAACACGAAACCTCAGTCCGGGAAATTGATTCCTCGGAAAGGCTCCTCCTTACCAAAATCTAAGTTAGGCGATGAAAACATGGAGAAGCACGATGGATATGGCACGGAAGCAGTTTAACGAAATACTGAAAAATAATTCACGAAAACTGATTCATAGTTGAGAAAAAAATTTATTGTTGATTTAACCTAGTTTTTTGCTTAGATTTTATATTGCCTCTTGACACGATGAAATAGGGATGCTGGTTATTTGAACGTTTATTAACCACACTTGTTTAGTTTGCTTGGCTTGTTGTTGGATATTGAACATTGTATATACAAATCACATTTGTATTATTTGTATTTGAGTAAATATAATTCCCATGGTTTTTCTCTTGCCCTCATTCAATTTTGTATATATATATATATATAATATTTTAAACCTTTTTTAGATAAATGAACAAAAATCTCGGGTAGAACTACTTGTCTGAAGTAGTTCATATTTTTATCGAAATCCTTGATACAAATATATGACTATTGACGGCAATCAACGAAGTAAGTAAGGTAGTTGCAAAACCATTCGAAGTTTTATAGTCTGGGATTTATAGGTTGTACAATAATTTGGCAAAATCCTGGAGCAGAAATGAGAAAAGATATGGTATCATCTTCTTTTGTCACATGAAAAGTTAAATTACACATATTTTTAGTGTAAATAGAAGAGGATATAATACATTGTGAGGTAAGATATATGTGTGTGTATATGTGTATATATATCAAAATTTTATGTGGGAAATCAAATTTTGGAGTGAGTGAGTGAGTTAAACAAGTAATGTTAGCTGACCAATTCAAATTTTTAATTTACATACGTACATATATATAATAATATATATATATATATATATGTATGAGGTAGACAGTATTGTTGGAAATTGTTTGCGTACAGAATCTGTAATTGACTTCTCATGCAAAATATTTTCTGTATGTTGGAAAAAAGAATCTTGAATTAATTAACCAAATCAGAACTTTTACTTATTAGAATCTGAAAACCCAATCTGCATTCACATTTTCTCAATTTTAAAATAAGTATAAACTGATTTTATAACTGTGATTAATTTTATTTTAGTAATAGTTAAAATTTTTATATTTTATTTAAAAATTATGAATTTAAATTTTATTAAAAAAATATATAAAAATTATTATTTTGTGTATATATTATATTATAAATTAATAATAATGTAATATGTAGATTTAAAATTTGGTCTGAAATTAATTTTAAAAATTAAAATTAATTATAAAATATAATTTTTAAATTTATAAATTTTTATTTTATGTAAAAATTAGGCAAAAATTGGTAGATGATGAAATTAAAAATAATTTTGGAAAAAAATAGGTGAAAATTTCGGTTCGGGAAGTATTTTTGAAAGAAAATTCGGAAAATAAGAGTCAAAACGTAATGTAGAAAAAATGTGTCACGTAAGATCGCCCAGTCAGTAGCCCCGATGAACTGGAGCGCGCCGTGTAGCAAGGCACACTAATTCAGTACCACACGGGAGGCCAAACTGGTAATCCGCGTGCCCACGATCGGACAGTTCGGATTTGTTCCCGCGCGCGTGAACGGTCTGGATCCATTCCATCTTTAAACACAATCGTACGGTTCAGATCAAACCACAATGAATAGTTCATATTCATTTTCTCTTTAAACGCAATCCGATGGTCGAGATCAAATACGATGGACGACTCAAATTAAAAGGAGACGGGTATAAATATCTCACTTAACACCGACGAATCCTAACACTAACTGTTAGCCCCTTCGCCGGAGAAAAAGATCAGTCACTGGAGAAGGGAGCCGACCACCGCCCATCGCCGCGCCAGAGCTATATCCGACCACCAAAAAAGGTAAAAATCTTCTCATTTGCTTGAAATTTGATTTTGAACACCCTTATGGACACATTGGAGCAAAAGGACTGACAGATGAACCGGAAATCGCGGGTAAAGTTCGGCGGCATCGCCGTAGGAAAAATAAAAAACTACCTCTGATGAGGCTCTTCCCGATTTCCGTTTCGTGCGATTTTTTCAATATTGTATTCATCATTTTGTTTTCTATAGGTTGACCGAAGAAAAATACCCAAATACAAAGGTGAGCCGACGCACTAAAAAATTTCGCTGCCGGTAAGTTTCTATTTTTTGATTTTTTTTGGCCAATTAAGGCCCCTTTACGTGTTTTCTTGCAGGGATGAGTATAAAATATGTTGAAATCTGTAAAAATTGGGTGAAAACGGCCAGTCAGAGGTAAACCATCGCTGCGGGCGGTGGTGCCATCGCCAGAGCACGACGGTGCCACCGTGCTAAAATTCTAAAATTGGTCAAAAAAAAATTTTAACACTGATTTTTGAGTTTTTAGGAGTATTTCTAAATACTTGAAGCGTGTTTTAATCTTCGAATGAAAATTTAAGGAACTCGGGGACCGCCAGTAACCGCAGTTGAGAGTCTAGTATTTCGGATACCGATCCGAGTAAGAATCCTTCACCTGAATTTTTTATTATGAAATTAAAATTTAATTATAAATAATACGACATTTTGCGTAATTTAGAAAGTCTCGATAATTAATTACAAGTTACTAATGGAAGCAGAATCGGTTATTTATCACTGTTTATCATGTTTTTAACTGATTTATTGATTTTACAGTTTAAAATGCATAATAGTACGCTGGAGTTGGTAAGATGATTCAGTTGTACTTCCTTGATGCATATATTGTTTGTTTTGCGTGATTTACAGTTAAATTATGAAATTAAAAATTGAATGTAAATGTGGAATTGCTTGATTAAGTGAATGAATTAATAGTAGCATTACTGGATATCCTTAGAGATGGTGGACGAATCGGGTACATAGGGAACCCTACCATAAATGTTGCCTCATACCATATGGGGTATCGAGGATTGGTATTTTGGCGCTCATACAGGACGGGATATAGGGACGGCCCGTTTCACCCCTCATACCGGACGGGGTATTGAGGGATGGTACTTTTGGTGCTCATACTGGACGAGGTATGAGAACGGCTGGTTAGTTGAGAATGTTGAATAAGGGTTCACGCATAATGGGGACATCCATATGGACTCCTATGGATACCAGTAGACAGATAAAAATGAAAAGTTATTGTTATGGTTAATTGAATATGAGATATGATGTTGTTTGTGTTATTACCTCTATAAGTCGATTTTGAAAATTTCGCTACGGTAAGTATTCAATAAATGATTTTATAGATGATAAATGAATTTACTTAAATTAAGAGCTCTATTAGTTATTTTTATGATTTTTACCAACTTTCATTTCTGTACCGGTGAGTAGTGTGACATTCTTAATAGATTAATATAGCTTATTCTTTCATTAACAATTTCAGATCAAGAGAACCAAGATCTAGATCCCGATCCACAAAAGAGTTACGAATAGGATGTTCAGTTATTTATTTTCTATTTATTTCTTTGACTTTTCGTTTGTTCTTTTAGAATGATCATTTTTGTATTTCTATTGAGTATTCTAAATTATTATGTAAGAAATGTAAATCTTAATTTTATTATTTTGCTTCCGTATTCAATTTATAAGTTATTTTTTAAAAAATTTCAAGACATTATACATAATTGTTATTTTATTGATATATTATAATTTTGTAGTAATTATTATATAATATTTAATTTATGTTTATGATAAAAAGAAGATATTATAAAAATTACATTTCTTTAATGGGAGAAGTTATAACAGCTAGATAACATTTTCTTGAAATATATGTATATATATAAATTAAATAATGGGAAGCCCTACATATTAGAGGACAGAGTCACCATTAATCTAATCTCAGCTGCCAAAAGAGAAACCACATGGTGTCTGCTGAAAGATGAACAGGAATTGTGCAAGCTCCATAATTTTTAATTAGAGAGAGATCATATCTTCAACTAAAAACACTTGCATGTGCTTACTACAAACTTTGCCAACCCACTTAATTAAAATCATAATTATATGAAGAATTTAAATTCAAGAAAATTAGATTTTCTAATCCTTATATATAATTTTATTTTGATAACAATTAATTGTAACTTATACAATGAACACTATATATATATCTACGATTTCTCTTCTGTACAATTATTTGTGTTTTTCAGTCGTTTTGCTTATCGCCCATACACATACACATACATATACATATACATATAATAAATGTTGTAGGGATGAACTCGATTTGATTGTAGAACCAACATGCATGAAAACTAACACATGGCATTGTTGTTTTTTAGTTATCACCCATATACATACATACATATATATATATATATA